GAGAAAGGAATACAAAAATACACACATATATACATGCACATTGGTCACAATATAATACATAAAACAAGATCTCTTTTAATCTGGTGTCTGTCTTAAAAACTCTGATACATTACGTTCCAAGGGTAGGCTACAATTCCACCCTTGTACCACTCTGTTGTGCTTAGGTACTGTTCTGTAGATGTGTCTGAGAGGATTATTTTTTTTTCATATACAATACAGTATGTCCAGCCATGCCTAGGTAAGGTGAGAAGGACAATGAAAGGATAACATTTATGCTTGGATTGTGACTTTCCAGGGTTTTATCATTGTCAGCAAGATTCTTACACTCATTTCAATTTTGGGGGATTATATTTAATTTATCTTAATTTCTTAGACTCATAGACTCAAAAGTCAGAAGGGACCATCATGATTATCTAGTCTGACTTCCTGCACATGGCAGGCCACAGAACCTCACCCGCCCGCTCCTGTAATGGACCCCTAACCTCTGGCTGAGTTACTGAAATCCTCAAATCATGATAAAAAAACTTGAAGTTACAGAGAATTCACCATTTACACTAATTTAAACCTGCCCCATGCTGCAGAGGAAGGTGAAAACCCTCCAGGGTCTCTGCCAATCTGACCTTGGGGAAAATTCCTTCCTAACCCCAAATATGGTGATCAGTTAAACCCTGAACATGTGGGCAAGACGCACCAGCCAGATACCTGGGAAAATTATCTGTAGTAATTCTTCTTTGTAAGTGTAAAAATAGTGGGGAACAAAAATGACTCTCAGATGTATCTGGGAGTCAGTTCAGCTGTGATGTATATGCAATATAGAGCCTTTTTAAAGTGTAAGGAAAAATGTCTCCTCTCCCATATGCATCGGACATCTTTTATCCAGACTGTGATCTCTCTAGGCCTGCTTCACACTATTCTACCTTCAAAACTCCCATTGACATCAATGGGAGCTACATATGCAGAATGAGTAGAAAATATGCAATAGAGATCTGCAGTGCAGGTGAGTGATTCTCCCATACTGACAGCAGAAGAGATTTAGGTCTCAAATATCTAGGCCTCAAACATCTATCTATCTATACTATATACTATAGATCGATAGATATAAAATACACTAAAACAATTAGATCAATTTTTCTAAAGTAGCTTCTAAAATTGCACCCACCTTTTCTTTACATCCAGGCTTCCTTGAGCCCAGACTGTGCAGGCTGGGTGTCTAGATTTCTGAGTATCTGATTTTCATGTGTAAATGTGATTTCCTCATCCTGGTTTGACTTTTTTATATGTACAAAACTTGGATGTGAAGAAGCATGGACACAGTTTGACAGGCCAGTTATGGACTGGGCACTTGTCAAATTTTAGTCCCAGAGCCTGCAAACCTACACGTTAGTGTGATTGGGCCATTCTGGAAGTCTTTACTTTGTTTCCACTCTGTCCCTATTCTGGCAAAATCTTGCTGTGATGAATGAGACAGTTCTAGCTCTTAGTTACGCTGGTGTCAATCCAGAGTAACTCCAAGCCATTCATTGGGGCTACTCCAGAATTATAGTAGTGTGATTGGGAGCAGAATTTATCTCAGTGGGAGATCTGCTGAAGTGAAGAATGGGTAAATGCTGAGTATCTGATCTTTTGAATTAGGAGGGAGTTCATATATTTTTAAGGCCATTTTGATCATCCAGTCTGAGCTCCTGGATAACACTGGCCATAGAATTCAAGCCAGCGATTCCTGCATCGAGACCCGTAACTTGTGGCTGAGTTGAGAATGATCAGTATCTCACATCACTGTCTTAAAAGGGCAGATTTCTGCTTTTCTTGCATATGTCTATACTTAAAGTAGTTAAACTGATGAGGAGTTACCCTACCTTTGTTTTCATCTTTAAAACACTCTTTGGGCTAGGGCTGCCTGGTACTCACTGAAAATGGGTTGGATGTGCAAAACCCAGACACATCCTTAATGTACACACCCTTATTGAGGTGCTGCTGGGCACCAGCGCTGCAATTTATACAACCAGAAGGAAGCTTTGTTTGTTTAAAAAAATGCCCTAATTTTCTCTGGCCACTTCCCTTGAACCCAGTGGATGAGGTTTCGCTGCGAGTTTATTTTCCAGGCACTTTGCATTTGCCAAGATGCCACCTTGTCTGACCCTCAGATGCTTCAGAACGTTATTAAAAATGAAGGGAGAAATGAGAAAAAAGAAGGCACCGCCTGGTCTGTAACTGCTGACAGAGGAAGGCATGGCCTTGTGCTGGTCTGTAAGCCCTGGGAGTTTTCCTCTCTCACAGCACCAATCCATGCAGTTGTGGCATTTAAGACCTGCCAAAGTTGTGTTTTATTGTTTATTGCTTCTCCCTTCTTTTCCTGCTCTTTGCCCCACTTTTGCTTTTTTCCCCTGTTAGGAGTGTCCTTTTTGATACTTCATTTCCTTCCCTGACTAGAGCAGGACACCTTGGACTAGAATTTGGACCTGAGGGCTATATTGCATCTTTTTATGATCCTGAGGGCTGTGGCTAAATGGAGCAACTTGTAGCTACCCTGATCCTTAATAGAGAGTTGTGGTCCGTTGAGATTTTAGGAAAGACTACTGTGCTTCGTTTTGATCCCGACATTTGGGTCATGCTGCATGCTGGGATCTGTGCTCCTTGCAGGCCTCACCTCTGTATTAAAGCTGAGTTCACCCACAGGTAGTATAGAATTCTGTAGGCCCCTAGGCAGAACTTTGGCCACCCCTAGACTCCATTGTAAGCTTTGGTTCTATTGAAAGGTGTAAGTGACTGGAGTACACGAGACCTGTACTCCTTCTGTATGTCCCAGTCTGTCTCTTAGAAACATTATGGTGCAAACATTGTGATGCCGCACATGGCTAGTTGGAGATCTGACTCTGATTGCCGTATAATTTTGAATATTAATGCCCAATAGCCACCGTGTGTACTCGGATATCAAGCTCACAACTCTTCCCGCAACACACAAGTTCCCCAGTAACCAGGTGGCTGAACCAAGCCAGCAGAGTGCCAACCTAATTCATTATACTATTTTTTAAAAATAAAAGTGCAATTATTCAATAGCTTTAGGATGCCTTCCCCCATTCTTAGGTCTTTATTGCTCTGTAAAAATACTTCTCTTATTATTGTACTTTAAAATTACAATGAAGTGGCCTCTATATGTATACGTCTGACATCTGTTTCTTTTTGCCTGGCAAACAGTCATACTCCGAATGTAGTACAGATACAGTCCAGTTAATGGTTATCTTTACCTGTTTTTGAAGCATTTGCAGTGAGATCAAACAGTTCCAAAAAAAATGCCCCATGAGCCACAGAGATGGCTTCTATTTAAAAGCAGTCCTTGCAAAAGAGCACAAATTTTATCCTTGATGCTTGGAGCTCAAGTATTTACACAGGGAATTTAGATTCTTCACTTGTGGTTTTGGCAAAAGCTTCACACAAATGTTTTGCACTGGTGGTCTCTTAGCCATTTAAGATAAACGACAAAATCAAATGCAGTCCTTGCAGACTAACGCTCTGGATGCTGTGCCAAGGATGAAGTATCCCTATTTGCCTCACATGTGTAACTGTCAGATCAACATGTAGCCATAGTTTTCGACCTGGGACTCTTGAGATGGAGAGGATGCATTATAACATGCTGCTTCTAATGTCATAGGGCTTATGGCAAAATAGTTCTTGATGCCCGGGTGTGTATATGTTTATGCACGCACATGCATGCACAGACAGAGTTGTCACCATTAAAACAAAATAGCAACAGCGTTTGCCAAAAGATACCCCACAATTAACACACTTATTTCCTGATCTAAATGTAGGGGAAAACCTGTGGTTTCCGAGGTACCACTGTGAGGTAATTGTTGGCAAATGCCAGCTTTTGAACGGTGACCACTGCACCACATAGGTTTATTTAGAAGCTACCCTGGATTAGTTACAACTCCTTGTTGAGTAATTAAATAAAAGTTATGGCTTTAAATAAACATATAGTACCAGATCTTCTGTTGAAATACATTTGTGTAGTTCCATTGACTTCAGTGGAATTGTGCTGATTTACAATATTGTGTGTGTGTGTGTGTGTGTGAGTCTGCATGTGCATTTGTGCATAGGTATGTGTGTGTATACACATATTTTAAGATTTATATTCTTTTTTAAGTCATAGGCTCCTTTCTGACTAGTGCCTGGAGAAGAGAGGGTTTCCAGAGAAGCAGGAGAGGATTCTAAACACAGCTTAAATAGCAGAAGATTTCTAGCTGCGTTAAAAATAAATAACACAGTTTGAGGCTACAATATCATTTTTCAGCTATTAGGAAAAAGGTTGTTGCATTCTTTATAGGCTTGATAGGGAAACAGAATACACAAATGGGGCATGCAAAATGCGTAACTGGCTGCAGCTCAAATGGGAAGGAAGCACAGTGGCCCATGAATGCTTTATTCTGGGAGCTTGATTTCTGGCACCTATGTGAAGCCATTTGAGCTGTAAGTCGCTGCACTTTGTCTGCGCTGGTGGGTTGATCCTGTTTCAGCAGCAGCTCGGCAGAAAGCCTACCCAGTTTTGTGTCAGTTAAATGCATTAACACGCCATAAAACAAGAATCCCCCTTTTGATTCAGTCCCTAAGCACGTGCTGGTGGGTCTGGTAACTGCCTCCAGTTCTCATCTGCACCATCTTTGACCTTCTCTAGCTTCCCTCACCGGCCACATCATCCCCTTTCCACGTCCCCCTCCCTTGGGCCCCTCCAGTCTGAGTTTGCTTCCAGAAAATTGCCTGTAGCAATCTGTGGTTTTGTAGTTCTTCAGGTCTCTTGCCTGCCCATCCCCCCCAGCCTGGCTTCTCTTCCCTGGCTTTCCAACGAGCCACACCAGTCTCAGCCTGACATATAAATTAGTTAAATAAAAATATGTAGCGAGTTAGGCCTAGTTGCCCTCCACCCCTCCTGTTTTCCCTGATGATGCCTGCTCTATCCCTTCAAACTTAGATCCGACTGACAGTTTTTTCTATTGTTTTTTCTCCAGGGCCGTCCAGGCCTGCAAAGCTGCTGGGGGCTCCCATAGCTGCCTCCTCCCACCCTCACACATCAGTGATCACGTCACCTCTCCGCGCATTGGCCTCTCTCCCGCCCTGCCTTAGCCTGCCCTGCTGTGGTGCCCGTGCAGTCTCAGTTGGCGGGACTCAGACTGAGACTCAGACTGAGACTTCAGGCACATTTGGATGTCATTGTCAGTTGTCAGGTAATAGAAACTATTTTTTTTTTTTTTGCTATCTGAAGGTCAGTAGTACTGCCAAGTGATGTCATTGTTACTGTGGGAGAGTGGTCTTCGCTGGGTTGTGTGGGGGAGGCAGTGAAAACGTAAACATTCCCTCATCACTGAGGACGGGGAGTGGGAAAAGGGGTGTGAGTCCATTCCTCCCCCCCCCCCCCATCTACCCACTTTCAGATGTCACCGCCAGCCACTGCTGGTCTGTTTATGCCACATTGTGAGCAAATGTCTGAGAATCCTCACATAATGTGATACCCTGGTATCAAGATTTCATCTCTGGGCTGTTTATTTTAAGCTTAATTGGATAACATTTAACATCTGAGGTCTTTTTTTCCTAATCATTTGTATTAAGGGCTTTCCTCAGAGTCCATGTGCATGCAGGATGTATGTGCTCCAAGCACTTTTCTCCCCGGCTTTTGAGAAAATGTTCCTCATTAACTTTTTTTTGTCTTCATTTTTTAAACCCTGACTCTTGTCACTGCCATGAAGGAAAGGCGATGTGGATTAGTGAAACCCAGGTAGCCAGGGAGGACCCTGACATGTGACTGACTAAAGAGTTGATGCCTGATCCTGCCATTTCAGACACAGGGATCTCTTTGACATCAATGGGTGTTCTGAGTGCAGCTTAGTTGAGGGATCAGGTCTGTAGTGAATTTAGTGGGTTAGAGGTGAAAATGGGAAGGGCCTAAAAGAAAATTCAGCTAAAGCAAAATCCTAAAGTGCTTACACAGGCAAAACTCCCATGTGTGCCAAATTCTGCAGTCCCTATTTGGGCAAACAGAATAATGCTGAGTAAATATTGCATATGGACTGCAGAATTTGGACAGTCAGGAAGGACTTAGCAGAGTGAGAAGTGAGTAAAGCCTTAAAGAGTTGGCCCTGATGACCTCTTGGGAGGGCCAGCATAAGCTTGTTCGCATACAGTTTTTCATTGTAGCATGTGCAGATAGAACCCTACCACAGTATAACAGTGACTATATATCAAGACAGAGTCCCTATGATTCAGTTTCATTGGAAAATACCTGATTGTATTTCCTTAAATGTTTGCGGTCTTTCACTGGGGGATACTGGGGCTGAGGGGGAAAGTTAGGAACTTCAGATTTAATGTGATGAACAGAGATCGAAAGTTTTGCAAGTACGGTATTTTAAACCTTGAGTCTTGAAGGACGAAGAATTCTCAAGAGGAGGTTTAAAAAGACACAACAGAACCTCCTAGAGCCTGATCCAAAGCTTGAAGTCCACAGAAAGACTCCAGTTGACTTCAGTGGATGCTGGATTGGGCCCACAGTGCAGTCAGTTTTCATACACCAACTTTTCTCTAAGCACAAACATATCCAGCATGACATTGCACAATGCAAAGAATTCAAATAATGTCTGCCAGCGATATGTGAAGTTGCACTATATCCAAGTTCCCTATAAGCAGGTTGCTTTCTCGTTGGGGTTGATTCTCCACTCTGTTAATCTGGCTTCACTTCATTGGCTTCAGTGGATTGACATTGCCATAAAACTAATATAATCAAGCCCTTATAAACCATTAACACAGTGTGTGAAGGTAGGCAGTTTTCCCCCCGTAACCAGTAAAACATACTGGAGGCAAGCTCATATTTTCTGTTCCCCTCTCTTTTTTTGATATAGAAGAGACCCGGTATCTTTGATATGTAGGTAGTTGTAACAATGAACTGATACTCTTATTCCCTATTGCTTCTAAAACAAACATAGACAGTTAATGGCGAGAGAAGAAAGTAAAACTAAAAATAGAAAAGGAAGGAAGAACTAACTCATTACAGCACGTTGGAACACAAGGCTTTTCTATTTTACGTACTTTCATTTTATAGTTGAGCACTGCTAGTGTTTGGAATGATCTATTTGCTAAAAGAGTGATGCCAGCTTTGTGGGGAGATAGACCTGTTATCATGGCTTTCTATAATTACTGCTACAGTCTATGGCACTTAGAGAATAGGTTATATCAAAGCACATGCTAAGTGTTTATGACAGTAGTTGGTCAAGTTCTGCTTGAAAGAAACATTTTCTCTCCTTGGAAAGGAGACTCATATCTACTTAACCCTTTATTGTCTTCCATGTATAACGTTGAGAACATAGAACAAGGTCTTTCTTACACCCAAAATGTTTTGTGGAAATGAAACAAAAAGAACCTCTTTGTGTTGGCTATATAATAATACCAGTGATCATCTCAATGTTGTTTTCTTTCCTCTTCATATAATTATTTACACTGGAGAGTCACTTACTCCAGCTTTAGGGATCTGTTTGTGTCCCTGACTCGATTAGCTCTTTATTCTGTCAGGCTTGTTCCTGTTTCTGAGGAATTGTTTCATTCTTTGAACAAAAGCCATTAACATTACCCTCCTCTCTTCTCCCCACTCCATTTCTTACCTTTTTTATTTTTCAGCTCTTGCTTAAATGCTTAGTAAGGACCTCACATTTTTCAGTGTAGCCTCAACCTCTCTAAATCTGAGGGCAAGCAATTGCAGATGCATCTGTGGGCACCTAGTATCTCTGATTGTCACTCACAAATCAGGTCCTTAGGAGTCTGTGCAATTTGTGGCGGCAACAACCTGAGTTGTTGGCTGCATATGGGCGCCCACATGTCAAAGCTGCTGTTGAAAATTTGGTCCTGGATATGATTTGTCTTGTATACAACACACTTTTAAGTTGTGCAAATGGGAATTCATCCTGCATCATCTTGGGCTGTTTGTGCTCTTTAGAAATTTTGATGCTGATAATATTCAGTGTAGTCAATAATAACCACAACAAATGGATGCCATGGAAGTTCTGCTGTGGTGTGTGCTAGGCCACTTTTTGGTTGCTAGTTGCATATTCTGTTATGCTTTTGTTAATTTCTTTGTGTATAAGTAAACACAGGATGTAGAATTAGCAAGTTAGAGCTTACATATTAAAATATTATTATTTTACTATCTACACATATCACTGTTGCAGTGTCTTTTGTCCCTCAGAAGCTTCTGTCTGTTGAATTGGGCTCTCTTGTTTTAAACGTTTTTAGTGCCTATTTAATTAGAAGTTGGAACAGAGTCATGAAATTCACGGGGTTGTGTAGCTTGGATCTAAAATATAAATGGGCACAAAATTCACTTTGCTTTGTGTCTTGCCAGATCAGAGTGCTTTTTTTAATCTTCTTTTTTATTTTGTTTAAATTAATTCTGACAGCTTAGCTTAACTGTAAAATACATAACAAAGACATGCAAACGATTATTGAGTGACATAATTATATGTAAAATTATATGTATGTTTGTGTATACAGACACACTGGACAACTTTCACTGAAGCCATTTTTCACAATACATCTTCACTATAAATACAGGCTGCTTTTTCAAGATCTGATTTATTAATATTGTACATTGAGGCTGAGATTTTCAAAGTGGCCTACGAAACCTGGATGCTCAATTCCCATTAAAATAAAAGAGAAATGGGCTATGAAAATCTCAGCCCAAGAGTACATGGCATTTTATGACATACTGTACAAACACAAAAAGTCTCTGCCCTGAAGATGGTACAATCCAAAGGCGCAATAAATGGAATTGCAGTTGGTACATTGCAATGCATATTGAAACAACATTTGTCTTTAATTTATCCATTATACTTGTATTCCTATGGGCTTGATCTAAATCCATTGGCACTGGCCCTGTGAGCATGGGTTTTATATACATATATAAAAATAATTAAATCTATCTAACATACATATATCTAATCAATCAGTGAAACAGCTTCCTTCCCACACAGACATATCTATAAGGAGGCAGAAAGCTATTGTAATACTTCAGTTGCATATTTAAAAGCAGCAAGTGGGCATTGACAGCAGTGATTAATGGGCAGGACTGTGAGGTTCAAGATCTAACACAGAGGAGCCATGGGGCCCTAGATCACATGGTAAGAACAATTTTCCTTTAATTCAAGGAATTGGCCATATTCGTTATTAAGACATTCTAATAATTACCCAATAATCTTGTAAAGTTAACATCAATTTATTTTGCTACTAAAATTTTGCTTACTGTATTATTTAACTAGTCCGGTGTTTTCTTGGCATGGGTTAAAGTGACAATAAAGTTAAAAGAAATACCTGTAAGTAAATAATAGATTTTAACAGTAGAATATTTTTCCTCCTTTAGTTATATCACACTATTCATTTTGTGTTGGTTTATAACCTGAGTCAGCCAAAGAGAAACGCTAGAAAAGACCACCCTGCTGTAAAAAGCTTGATGCAATTAATACAGTCTGTCTAGAAAGCAATATTATTTCAAAAACTTTTATGTTAATGATATGGTATGTGTTCTGCACATTTCATACTAGAACAAGAAGCAAGCTTTTGTTTCATATCAGACTGGGTTTTATTAACACTGGAAGATCAATGGAAAACAAAACAATAATCAGAATGGAGAATGCAAACTCATCCTGCAAAAGCCTCCTCACTCATCAAGTCCCAGGACGATGGCTGATATGTTACTCCTCCCCCTCTTACTCAGTGGAATCTGGAAAAAAAAATCCATCCAAATTAGATTTCAGATCCACTTCCCCCCCTTTTTTTGGAGAGGAGAAAGAGGAGTTGGGCAGTGTGTGTGTGTGTGTGTGTGTGTGTGTGTGTGAATGCAGACAAAGAGCTACAGCTACATTAAAATCATTTGCAAATGTTTCTTCTCATTATACTGTGAAAAAAAATGATTCACGCTAGAGTAGAACTGACTAAAATTTGTGCTCAGAAGAGACGTCTCTATTAGTCACTGATTACTTATATTTATTTACTTCTTTTAATGAAATATGTAATGCATTTTGAAGAATTTACTTCATGCACAGTGTTTAAAGTATGATCTATCGATCTATCTATCTCATATCCAGCCACAAACTAGATCTCATCATAAACTTATTTTTAATACATGGTATGTTTATCAAGAGACGAACAGGAGACTATAAAACAGCACAGAGGCAGCTAAAATTAGGGC